TTTCTCGTTCACATGTCTTTCATGCGACTTCTATATGCCTACCAGTAGACACATTCAAGACATGTAAAAGACGCAATCTAGTCACATACAAGACACTTTTTCTCAGCAGACACATCACTGAAGTCGTCTTTTTTTTTAGAGTGTTGGTAAAGCATGAGGGCTAGTGTACAAAAATAACTGTTTCTAGAGGGAGTGAGAAACAAAAGCCTTTTGACACCCCCTGCAATGAATTGACGTCTTAGTTTATGACAGTGAAGAGTTATAATTATTATAGCTTTGGTATTATAATGCATCTGAGAAATGCTATATAGATTTTAAAAAGTGCATCATCATCTGTTAGGTGCTTTTAAAACAATTATTTTACTCACAAGATGAGCCACTTTTTTCTTCAAAAATGTGCTTCGTTTTCTATTTTTGTCATCAGAATTCAAATTTTCTACAAAAGCTGTATTGAGCGTTTTATTATGAAAGTAAAAGTGGACGAATATTAGTTGATGATGTTGACCTCCGATGTTGTCGAAACAGGAGGAAAACCGGCGGTTAACCACGGTTATTTTAAGATCTGACGGTTAACAGCGGTTAGCCGTCAGTTTTCGTCCGGTTTCGACAACATGGACTAATAATCCATATTTCATCGTCTATTATTACTTAAAGACCTCTCTCTGACGTTCTGTATCATCCGATTCTAACAGTTTACTAACATTTATGCTGCCTCAAATGTGTAGCTTTGGTATTATAATGCAACTGAGAAATGCTATCTAAATTTTGAAAAGTGCATCATCATCTGTTAGGTGCTTTTAAAATAATTATTTTACTCACAAGATGAGTCACTTTTTTCTCTAAAAATGTGCTTCGTTTTCTATTTTTGTCAACAAAATTTGTTCTAAAAATATAAAAAATATCAGATATTGTTTAGTAAATTCTGCTCTTTCTGCTCATATATTTTAAAATTTGATTTGAAATTCATTCTGCTATAATCAAAAAAAGAAAATCGTGGAAGCTTTCATTTTTTGTCAACAAATTTTTAGTCGTCTGTTTTGAAAAAAATTTTCTTAGTCTCCGAAAGTTTCGAAAGTTCAAACTGAGGATTTCTAGGTCATATTGTGTTCGGAATCCGATAGTTGCACTTAAAAGCGACATTATCTTTCGAACGTTTAATCGATTTTTCATAGCGTCCTCGATTCCATCATGTGATCTCTCTTAAGTCCTTGATAAGTGTATTAAGAATGTCAAATTCAGTTTATTATAATCAGTTTTATATGTGGATTAGAGTAAAACAGTTTGCAAATTTTAAATATAAAATAAAATGAAAAACTTAGCTTAGTTTGAGAAACTTTACTAAATTTGATCACTGTCAAAATGTTCAATCTCAAACTTTTTCTACACAGGGAAGGTTTTGGTCACTTCTGAGATTTGAAACACATTGAGAAACTACCTGAGAGGACACGAATACGAATCATTTTACTCATGTCGCACGAACTCTTAAGAAAAAGGAGAAAACGCCTATGATCTATTTGAAAACGCCCGTGAACCTCTCGAGATCACAAATAGAACTTGTATTGTTTTTGTCGCGCGAATTCTCGAAAAATAGAAACGAATCTTCAGTTTTTCCATAAATTATACGAGCAAATCGTTTTTCATAAGAGATTCAATGGTGCTTATTTAGTGGAAAAGAGACATTATTTGTGTTTTTCCGGATAACGCAGAAGGAATTAGCACTGGACATCGCGAAAAGAAAATTCTCAGGTGTTTATGAAAGAAGTAGAAGACTTTCTTCTTTCCTCGCGTGTCTCGGAAGAATCTTGCAAGATTTTGTTTTTTCTTGGGAGTTATTGCAAAGTTTACGAGATTTTTTTCCAGTGGGACGTTTAGACTGCAGTCTAAACTACACATAAGAGTCTTCCATAGAATACTGTTATAAGTCGAGATATCGAAAATAGTGTAAGTTGTATGTCGATAGCAAAATATCCAGAACTATAGAAGCTAGTGCACTTAGCAAAAGTGAGTAACTCAAATGGAATCGAATGCTCAGATCAGTAGTTTCTGATTTCGCTTTTACGGTGATTAATTCAGCTGATTATCTGTAGGCAGTAATCAACCTATTAGTCCAATAGAAAACAGCTTCAAGGTCTTTTTAGACATCTTAGATTTTCTGGTGTAGAATCCAAACAAAAGTTTTTGCAGCTACAAATTTTTCAAAAGAAAAAAAGCTTCAGTTAATTATATTTTCGGTCACAAGGCTATACGGAGAAACAGATCGTAAATGTAGAATAAAATAATAAAAACTAATACAATTTAACTTTTCAACTTCAAAGTCGTAAAAAGAAGGAAGTCACCCTGGGTTTTCGAAAAGAATTTACTTTTTTTCTTGATTTTCTGCGGTTCGAGTCTTGTATCGAATTTCCGACGTGTCTCAGGACTGGCGCTCGGTGACTCTTGTTTGTCTTAGAGACAGATAGACTGTATATGATCGACCATGTCGAGTCTCGTGGCAGTATTTGCTTTTAGAAAAAGTTTTAAAAATCTACCGAAAAGCCAGTTTTACGAAAATTAGGGTTTTCAGGCTGTTTTCACTTAATATACTCTGTTACAAGTTCAAATGAACGTTATACTCTTAGCCACTTTAGGGAGACTGAGTAGGGAGAGGAGGCTGGGGAAGCTGTTTTGAACTCGTAAGGAGTCGGCATAAATGTTATTGGTTTATAGGCAGAAACCTTTAAGCATTTGGTGCGTTAATTTTTATATCCATTGACTCTCGTTACGAGTTCAAAACAGTCTCCGCAGCCTCCCCGATACTATGTGACAATATAACACTCAGTTGAACTCGTAACAAGTTCAAACAGTCGGTAATATTTTTCATTTCGTAAAGAGTTTAAAGACTGCCACCTGTGGATCAAGAATGCGCCTCTTAATTTTTCTGCAATGACTTTTATGGGAAAATTTCTCAACATTTTCAGACAGGCCATATTTTCAAAAGCGGCCGAATTTTCTGAAATCACTAAATTGTTGACTTTATCGCGAGTAAATGTACTTTTGATCACCAACCCATGTAAATATTTTTTAGTTGCAGACGCGTCTGCGTGCATCGATTTCGCACCATTTCACTATGTTAAAACGCGTCTTTCCCATGCGCGTCAAGACGCGTCTATGCTAGACGCGTTCAAACGCGTTTTTCCTAGGCGCGACTGCGTGCATCGAATTTGCACCATTTCGCTATGTTAAAGCGCGTCTTTCCCACACGCGTCAAGACGCGTCTGTTTAAAGTTTTTAAAAAGTATTTTTAATATTTCTTTTACACTTATTTTAAGTCATAGTTAAGGACTTGACGTACTTTAGCATGTCCATTTAATATCGATATGAGAAGGGTAGGATTCGCTAGAAAGAAACGCATATCTATGATGATGCTGTCAACGAGATTCGATCATGGGGCCTAGAACAGAAAGACAAATTGCAAAGCAAGTTACTTACACACTCAGCTACTGAGCTGGCAGTTTGCTTTGCAGTTTGTCAATGTGTATTTTACACGTGTAAAGAACAGTGAAATTAGTCATTTAAGGTAGAGCAGACATAGAAGACATCCAGAATCGAATAATGTACTAAAATAGCGCCAAGTATATTGTATTATGGTTTGGCTAGTCAAAGACGCTTCTTTGTTTATTCATTCAAATTTCTAAATAAGCCTTTTAGAATATGCGAGATTTTGTCCGAAGATTTGCTTTTATTTTTATATTTTAATTTCAAGCGCCTGTTTTCACTTAAGACCATTGGTCATTTACTCTGCGACTATAAGAGTCACTAGAAGTTCGTAGATCATCTAATAACGCAGTAACTATTCTGACTACATTTTTCTGAAGATAATTTTAGAGAAAAAGTAAAGAAACCTGCGACAGAGCTTACGATGGCGATATTCTCCAATGTTCTTAGTCTCTTGAAATACAATATGACAAAACATTTTTACTATGCCTCTTAGACTAAGCAGAATTTTACTGCCTACTTATATGAGGAAAACTAAGGTCACTTAGAAACATACTTCATCCTGGCTATCTGACAATTTGACTTTAAGAAACCGCATTTAAAGGTGTCTTGTTCATTTTTCAGTTTTCGATAAATCATAACTCGCGTCGTTTTAATGTGCGTCTAGACGCGTCTAAGAAATGATCCGTAAGAAAACGCATTCAGACGCGATTTCAAAACATTTTTTAAATAGACGCATCTAAACGCGTTTTGAAACATCATTCCGCGGCTGCGTTTAGACGCGCCTCCATAAAGCGCGTCAAACTAGGTCTCATTTTGGTCGCGATTAGGAGACGCGCTTAAATGCGTTTTTGTAACGCACGTCTAGGCGCGCCGTAGAAACTATCCGTATAAACACGCGTTTAGACGCGTCGGTTGACGAAAATGTTTTGTAGCCGCGTTTCGACGCGTCTTTTCTATGCGCGTTTAGGCGCGCCTGTAATATTTTCTTACGAAAATGCGTTAAGACTCGTATTTTGATGAAAATAGTTACAGCCGCGTTTAAATGCGTCTCTCTCACGCGCGTTTAGGCGCGTCTGAGAAATTTATCTTTAAAAAGACGCGCTAAAACGCGCCTTTTACAGTAACAACGCGTTAAAGCGCGTCTTTTCAAACGCAATGAAGTTACATGGGAAGAAAAGATACTTTTGATCACCAAATTTTTTAGATACAAATGATCACCAAAAAAAGATACTTTTGATCACCAAATTTTCCAGCATCACGTTTTTATACATATAAACATATAAATTTTAACAAAGGCAATATTTTCACAGTTTTATTTACATTTATTTACAAATTTAAAGCTGGTTGAATATGTGTAGTCAAATTTCTTCATCTCTTCTTTATTCATTCATTATATCAGTCAAACTTCCTCATCTCTTCTGTGTTCATAATATCGTTATTCATTCATAATATCAGTCAAATTTCACCATCTCTTCTCTGCTTCTCCTTGTATATATACCCTTAAAGTTTATTCATTTGTAAAAATGTCAGCATCAAACTGGATTCTATTAAGTATAGTAAATTTACTTGATGATGTTAAAGCTGTTGCTAAATCACATGGTGTATGTCAATGTCGAACAAATAATCTTAAGGATCATACAAAGTACTCGTTTAAATGTTCTCAATATCGTAAATATCCATTATGTGGTTATGAACTCAAGGCAACTGTACCAGATGACGATCCAGACTCGATTACGGTAATGTTCAGAGATGCTCACAACCATGACAATCGAAGCCAGTCATCTCGTTTAGCATCTCCAGTACGTCAATCAGTTTCAAAATATGTTGGTATTGGTTTAACAGAAGCTCAAATTCGTTCGTCAGTTTCAGTTGATCATCCATCTACACCAGTATTATCAACCAAATTAACATCATTAGTTCAAACAGAACGTCGAAATAATCGCCCAGAAATCTTCTCAGTTTATGATTTTCGTAAATGGTGTAACGATCACCAAGATGGTACTGTGCCACATTCGACGATTGTACCGTTCTATCATTGTAATGACGTTAACGATTTGTTTGTTCTATTTACTACGAAGCGCTTAATTCAACAAATTCAATCAACTCCACTATTGCAGGTTGATGCTACGTACAAGTTAACGTGGAATTAACACTCTTGGTATTTGGTGCATCCGATAGTAACAGACATTTTCACCCGTTCGGTGTTGCACTTGTTTCTGATGATGAGAGTTCATCGTGTTATGAACATTTGTTTACGTCACTCCAATCATTAAGTAT